GTCGTGGTTGGTCCAGAAACTTGAATCCAGGAGGAGTGATCTCAACACGATGTGCAGTATCGTCAGCTGTAAGCCAGGTCTCAGTGATGGTAATAATATCTGCTGCACACGACTCCACGTAACAAACAAAGTCAGCAGATTTATTCTTCAGTGATCTAGCATTTAGGCAGCACAATCTTAATTGCTTTCCTGACTCTTGCTGATCAATGTTAACATTAACCAGAGTACGAGAGATCATAAATGTACACATCTACACCCAAACTAAATTGTTTCGCATTTCATATCCAAACTACAGCTTTTTTAACATAATATCCAATCACCCTCCACTTTGCTGTATCACAATAGAGGATTCCAGTCCTGAAATTGTTGCATCGCTCCCACAGTAACGATATAACACGGAAGAATAGTGAACACCTCCTGATAACGATTGTTTACAAAGCGTACCTCGGGGTTTCCTTATACCCATTTCGTTGAAAAGGAGGCTGTAATTACTTCAAGAGATCTTTGTTTAGATATAATTCTTCGACCGAACTGCGAACCAAATGTAAACAAAATGTTGCCGAAATGCATTTTACCCCTTTTAGAGCTAGAGACTGCCTCTTAATGATGTTTAGAACAGGTGAGACGTGCTGAAATGGACCCCTTAGCTGTGTTCAAACGCTTGTCGTGTAGAACAAAATTTCGTTTCCCTGAACTTCTGATCTGGATGAGTTATGGAGAGTTATCAAGTTACTTTAAGCAATATTTGCTATTTTGACCCCAATTTACGTGAAAACCAATCTGAGGTACCTCAAATCAGGATGTAAAAGTTTTCCGTTTTCTTTCTTAAATTGAAGGTTCAGTTGGCTGCTAAGAATTCCTTTTTACTTCCTTTTCTATAAAGATCCTCTACATATCAAAGAAACTTATTATTAAGAACTCATAGAACTCTAGAGAAAAAGTGTTTGTAATGTAGTATTGTTCTGTTTTGGTCTTCCTTAAATCACGTACATGGTGTTATTTATCCTTTTGTTCATTCATCCGTTTGTTCACTTAGGTTCTGTTAAATTAATTGCTCAGCTTCAGCAGATGCAACTCGATGTAAGCAAAGTCATTGACAAGACAAACCTAAAAACTGAGTTGAAGAAAATTGCTTCAGACAAGGGCTTCATTATTATTGACAATGAAGGATCAGGAAATTGCATGTTCTATGCTTTGTCAGATCAAATGGAACTTGCTTTGAGAATCAAAATCAAGCATGACGAATTAAGACAAACATTGGTCCAGTACCTCAGAAAAAACCCTAAACTAGTAAGTTGATGTCTTACACTCTGTGTTACACACTGTTACTTTAGGAGCACCATAAAGGTTAGATCCACATGTGGGTCAACTGGGCAACACGTCACTACTCCTCCTGTAGGGGATAATAAGGATCATAAATACCCTGAAAATCAGCGTTTAGTATAAACCAAAGCGCGCGTTCATTGGTAAGTGATTCGCAAGTACCATTCACCGTCTTCTGGTATATGCGTAAATAATATTCTACCTCAGTGTCGTTGAAACTGGTGGATAATTACCTCGCCTTTTTTCCTCGGTAGATACCCACCCCTATTCGCCTTTGTTTCAAAGAGTAATTGTTTAATATTTCTGGATTTCTCTTAAAACCACGCTGTGTTGTTCAAGTGTTTTAGTATAGACCATGTCCGGGTCACGGATGAATTCAGACCTCCTTGTAAAATTTAAAGAGCTCTGTCTTGTGGAGAAAGCAGCCAATCCAAGGTTTTTTTTTAAATACATCGCCGGCTTGAATCTCCCCCAGACGGGACAATCCTAATTGTATGACCTTGCCTCTGGATAAGGTGGACACTAGATATTCGCTGTCTCAGAAGGGCAGCTTCAGGAGTTGAGACTGCTACATTGAATGTAGATCCTCGTGTTCATTACTCTGATTGCTTATTATCCATTCTTACTGTTGTTTAGTATCTCTTTGTTATTTTCTCATTCGATGACTCCTTCCAACGCATTCAACCTAATCCAGTGTACCATTAACTTTATACTGTAAGTTTCGTTCTCTATTTTACCCTTCTCACAGCCGAATGGAACAAATCTGTTTCACTTCGTCCATGGACATCAATCATGGGCTGATTACTTAACGTACATGGAGCAAGATGGCGCTTGGGGTGACCATGTTATTCTATGTGCCGCAGCAAACTGCTACAAAACTTGCATTCGTGTGGTCAGCAGTCTTAACGTTTCTCACGATGTTATCTTACGGCCACAATGTCCTGTTGAAACAAAGACCGCTACTGATTGTCTGAAAACTGAAACGATTGACCAAAAACCTATGAAGAATGGATGGGCAAAGCTAAAAAGAAGGCAACAGATTTTCGTATTTTCTTGATTAAAAAGCCGAGGTGGAACTGTTTACTTAAAAGTGAACGCCAAAAGCGTATCAGCGAGGCATAAATCGAGGTTTCGTTTCGGCGAGAAAGTGAAAAATCGTGCCGTATGAACCAACTACCCCTTGGAGAAGAAAAAAATCGTCTTCAAATGACAGAAAATGAAGTCCTGTTGGTAGCCATCGGCCTCATTTATACCCGGTAAAGTTTAAAATAAATGCTGCTAATGTCTAATGAAGAAACTACGTTACAACAGTGTTAAATTAATTCTGCCACCAATGTTCCAATAAAGCCTGTTACCCATTTGTTCGTGTTTAACAAAGAAAACTAAAATGTTATGGCGTACCCTTTGATTGTAACTGATATACTGACTGGTACTACAGAAGATAACACCCGTGCTACGGAGCGCTTTTTATTTTTTAACGTTTTTTCTTTGCAGTTCAAATCCAGCAAGACCCAGAGAGTGATGACAGCGATGACAGTGATGACGAGTCCAAAGATCAAAGTGAGCATGAGCAAAACGCAGAGCAGACTGATCATGAAGAGTCTGAACAGAGAGATGAGACTGAACAGGATGAAAAACCACAGGATAACCACGGGGATCGATCAGAGAAGAAAGACGAACCAGAAAAACACGAAGAAGAATTAGAAAACGACTTTAAAAGATCTGAAGAACAACACCAGGATGACATGGAAGATAAGCCTGACAAAAAAACGCAAGTATCGGAGGACGACTACAAAGAATCCGAGGACCAAAATGAAGATAACATAGACCATGAAGCTGGGGAAGACAAATAGTTTATTGTAAATAAGGGTATGTTGTAACAACCCTCTGTTTCCTCTAGAAAATACTGAAGAACTTTGATATATTGAGATCTTTTCGTCAATTTGGAGGACTAATGACGAACAACCTCTCCTCATCATATCTTGCACAAATTGTTACTTTCTAAAATTTCATTTTTCTTTCCTTGCTAAACTACGTTAAGCGGTTTATTCGAACAGAGAAAGTGCTTTTGCTCACCGTAAATTTTTGGAGCGGTTTTCCTTTCTAAGTGAGTGGCACTACGGTGTCCCACTTTATATAACAATCTCGCTATGAATTACCCTGAGCAGAGTGTAAGTATTTAACACAGGGCAAGTTACTGAGTGGCTTCTTTCTGTCTTGCGTCATATTGTTATTCAACAGATAAACACCAAGCAGATGAAAATCTCACAACAGCCTCAGGGCGAGAGTCTCCAAGATCACCGCTGGCCACGTTTGACGATGACAGCGACCTTGATCAGTTTTACGAAGCGCTTGATGGCATAAAAGAAACGGGTGTGTAATCAACAACACTGTATTCTTAAATGAATGCATTCTATTTATAAGAAATTAACTTTAAAATCGATTAAGTGGGTGTTTGGTTCTATCAAGGCGCATGTGGTAATAAAACAATTGTATAGGAAAATAAAAATTAAAACTTCGCACTACAGATCTGTTTCGAAAGGGTTAAAAAGTCCTCTCTCGTCAGGTGCATAAGATACTGGTTGACTAAGGATCCTTTTTTTTAAGTTGGTGGTTTATGCATGCCTTATTAAGTATTTAGTTGAGTGCCCGCACGCACTCGCCAGTTCGTTCCTTTTGTTTAGGGTGCCCGCCCCTGTTCTCCATATGATGAAAAATTTTTCAGTTAGGCAAAAATTGCATCTCTTTGTAGTATTGGAGTACGGCCTGGCGCGAGCCATTATTTTCCAGGTCACGGAGAACTCCTTCAGCATCCTTTAGGGACCAGATATATTTGCTCAACTCTGTTGCGTTCCTTTTGTTCTCATGTCTAAATGATTCTGTATGGTTTCTAAATCTTGTTTTAAATTGGTTCGCAGTAAGGCCGACGTACGTTTGGGTTCCAAGGGACTTTCGACTGTGGCCTGGTAGACCACATTGTGAATTAGGCAATTGCCACGTAGCGGACAAGAGTGTTTGTCTCTACAATTGCATGATTTTTCTTGTGATGGAGAATTATTTGCGAGGGAGGACTTGTTGTGGGCGTTGATTTTTCTTTCTAAATTTGGCTTGCATGAATAGCTCACTTTCAAAGTGTTCCTATAAGAAATTTTTCTTAGCGGGTGCCCTGGTGAAAACGAATTCTTTTACGATGCCCTAAAATTTTTTTTCCCACTTTAGTAGCAACGTTCTTACTAAAAGGTGGGTTATACCAAGTTATATGTCGGTTTCTTCTTCTCCCTTCTGTACTCCTCTAGTCTTTAGCTGTTGTGTCAAATTTTAATTGGTGATTATAGCCACTGGCGAGTGCGTGCCGGCACTCAACTAAATACTTCATAAGGCATGCTTAGACCACCAACTTAAAAAAGGATCGTTAGCCAACCAGTATCTTTTAACCCTTTCGAAACAGATCTGTAGTGCGAAATTTTCATTTTTATTTTCCTATGCAATTGCTTACAAAGCTCCATGATTGTAGAGCACTCTCCGATCCGAGGATAAGGTTTTTTTACGTTTTTATATATATTTAGTATAATTTCAGGGCTGAACAAAGAGTTTCCAGCAATCTGATTGGTCGAGCGGTTCCTTATATGACGCTATATAAACCGCCCCGCTCGTTTATATAAAATGTTAAACTAAAATGTTAATAAATGTTACTAAAATGTTATGATTTTAGAAATTTCTCTGTTGTTCAGCTCTGAAATTATACTAACACAATTATTCGCCTCAAGTTCGGTGAATATTGTCATATAATCCCCTCGACTTCGTCTCGGGGATTATTCGACGATATTCGCCTCGCCTTCGGCGAATAATTGTTAAATATATACCAGTTAAAAATTCCATAAGCTAAATATACGTACTGAAATGGGTCATTTTAAATGACTACTTGCTAGGGATACTTAACTTATTTACCCGCCAATGTCTTGTTTAGCTGAGGTTCGTCCGCATACGTGGCACTATGCACATGTACTACAGTAGAGATCACAAGTATGTTAGGTTCCTTCAGCAGTTGTTAATTAAGCTTTGAACCGTTATAACTAAACTATTGTAAAGGCCATCTCTGTCCTTTGCAATTTGCAACAGTATTAATTAGTAGCGAGAGTTCGCTTTAAAATAAACAATGTTTCCAGACCCTTTTTGGAGGGTCAGAAAGTTGCCGACTCGAGAAGTCATTTCAAAGGACTGGTGGATATGCTTGCCTGTAACATAATTCTGTAAGGCGTTTTGCTTAATAGTTAACCTATGGGTATTCTATATACTTCCTTCAGACTTAATTTCAGTTAAGTTAGTGTTGGACGCAGAAAAAGTAGCAGTGTATGGAGATGTTTGATGTATAGGGTCTGATCGGAACAGCAGGCGAACTATAGGCTGCGAGAGAAAGGATTATTTGTGACTCCTCATTTACCTGTGGTTTGCTAAAACTGGTAAAGTTTTAAGTAGATGGCTGTTTTGTTTGGCAACCCTAAGCTATGAATCGTATTTATTCAATCTAACGCTGGTATCAATAGCTTGCATGTGATTTGCTCATTACAACCTAAATATTTTACATATTCAGTAGAGAGATACTATGTATAACAAGGCGAAACCATAGATCGTACCTACTTGATCATAATTCGAAGTTATCATCGNAGTAGAGATTGAGGACAATAATAAGAGCTAACAAAGAAAATGCCATTACAGGCTCCTAGTGGGTTACTATTGATTAATTTTCCGTGAGCGTACAAGCTTTGTCATTTATATTGTGAATTTAACAATGTACTGTCTTGTGAAAATGTTTGTTTGCAATTTCACCAAAAACAATTTGGGACGAATGCGGCTAACAGCCATATTTACTTCCGCGCGTGTCAAAACAAGTAAAAACGTACGCTGTTTTTTCTGTACGTTTTAAAAAAATCGGTCTCATAAAAGGAGGTTTTATTCCTTATTTATGTAAGTTTATATCTATTGCGATTTGGGGTGAAGCTAATGAGTCACTTTTCTCCTCAATCTTTTTAAGTTCGAAGTTGTCGTTTTATCAAATAGTGATGAGCCACGCATTACATAGTTACTTATCTTGTCTGCTAGTGTTGCAAAGACCTTGGTAAGAGCCAAAGATTCTAGGTAATTAGCTTGCTGGCTTCTGCTTATCTTTTTTGCTTATGGTCCTTTATTTTAAAACGTTGACGCTACTCCTGTATTTAATTTTTCCGGGCTTGTACTGTGAATTGCTGTTATGACCAGAGTGTTAACTTGTGTGTTAATCCTTTAAGAGAACGTTGGCCAAAAATCGAACAGTCTCGAACTATAGCAACAGCCAAAAAATCGATTCGGCTCACTTTTTCAAGTTAAGTGGGCCTTATAATGAAACAAACTACTACATATTTCGTTTGGCTATATATCGATTAATTTTTGAGAAAATCGATAATAACTGAATTCCGTCAAAATTCCAGACCAACCCGAGGCTTGGAGCGTCGCCCAACTAATTGGATACACCTAGACCAATAAAAAGTGCCAAATCTTGAAAAACAACATTCAAATCAAGGTTCTTGACTGTTTTTAGACACAATCTAATTGACTTCATCCGACCTTCTTCTAACTGTACTAAAAATTGGTCAAAAGTAACCCGTTATTTAACGATGTGGTAGACAGAGTAATCGACTGAAAAACTGGCTTTGGGAAGGCAAAGTGTAGTTCTTGCAACCACTCATTATCAGAAGGTGTTGACTATCCTTCCAAGTTATATCGCTACTTTGAGAGCGGCCGATGCAGCATTTTCAGGACTTCAATCTTCTATTATGATACATCAACATGGAGGCTAAGTAGATGTTCTGTTGAAAAAGCTGTAGTTTTGATGTAAAATGCGAAACAGTCATGTTTGCGTGTCATGATGTGTTCATTTTCTACTAACTGACGACATCGTCAAAACATCGCATTCCATCCAACTTAAAAATGATTAAATCGCGCTAAATCATATCCCCAAAAAGTTCTTCGGAGATCGAATAGAACAACAACTCGCCTTTCAGAAGCCAGATTTTCAGTAGATTTATTTTGTTTAGATAAATAACTGGTTACTTTTGTCCTATTTTTGATGTAGCTTAGCTAGAAGATGGTCGGATAAATTAAATTAGAATGTGTAAATAAACAATCGAGAGTTGCTCAAATTGCTGTCTAGCTATTTTTTGATGTTGTTTTTCAAGATTGGGTACTTTTTCATTGGTCCAAGTGTTTTCAATTCGTGACGCGACGGTCCAAGATTCTTCTGAAATTCTGAGCTTCAAAAGCGGCATTTTGGCGGAACTCGGTTATTATGATTTTCTCCAAACTAAATCGATACTAAGCAAGACGAATTATGTAGTAATTTGTTTCCCACAGAGACCTACCTAGCTTTGAAATATTGGCGAAATTGATTTTTCAGCTGTTGCCACTAAATGTGTGACCATTGGTAACATTCACACTTTAGGCCCATTAAGGGGATGGAAACCATTAATTTCTTTGCCTTCTTAACAATCTTTTTTTCGCTAACGGAGAAATTGTTGCTTAGTTCATCGCAATTTTGATATACAGTCAATAGCAGGAATAACAAAGATTAAATTTCCCTCCTTAAGTATTTAAAATAATCAAGCTAGCTTTGTTTGTGCTTGTTCTGAATTCTAGCTGATAGGTTGTTTTCTAACCTCGTGACCCAATCTTCTCACGGGAAATTTAATTTCTCTTCAGTGCTTTTGTTTTTTTTAAGAAATGCCTGTGCAATTTAGCGACACGTTGTTTCGTTTATCACCGTCTTAAATGGGCCGCAATAAAAGATCTGAGACAGCCAAGCATTGACCAAATGGTCATGGTATTCACTTAAATGCTACAAAGACCGCTATTGATTGTCTTAAAACTGAAACTAGACCAAACACCTATGAAGAATGGATGGGCAAAGCTAAAAAGAAGGTAACAGATTTTCGTGTTTTCTTGATTAAAAAGCCGAGGTGGAACTGTTTACTTACAAGCGAACGCCAAATGCGTATCATCGAGGCATAAATCGAGG